CTCATTTATTCAACGGGACAATTGATTACAAAGTGGGGGGAAGATCTTATTCTACTTCTAGCAAAAAGACATTTTTCTTTTACCTTAATTATACTACTTTAGGGGCCAGCTATAACATATTACCAAGGTTCAATACTGCTGTTTCAGCAGGGCGGTGCAGGGGAAGGAGGGTTTTTTCCACAGGTCAGGCAGCGCTGGGGTGTGTGTGTTTCGGGGGTGCTGGGGGAGGTGGTGTGTTTCCGGGGGGCTGGGAGGCACTGGGGGGCGTTTTCCAGTGGTGTTGGGGGCGGGGGGTTCGGCGGGGCTGGGAGGGTTCGGCCCTCAGCTGTTTTCTTTGGAGTAATATGGCCCTCACTGCTTTACGAGTTGTGCAGGCCTGATCTATTTTGAAGAAAAAAAATCCCACAACTTTGGGGTCAATCTGCTGATTTGGGGGGTCTGACTCATGATCTCTGAACTCCTGGGGTTGGTGACACAGAGCTTCCCACCCAGAGGACTTGACCAGTGCCCTCTCTGTTCCCTGCCTGTGCAGACCCTCCCGCAGTCCATGACCAGGAGCAGGCACCACTCTGAATTCACGTGGGAGGAAGCCACCAGAGTCTAACGGGCCTGGCCTGACAGTCACAGGTGCTGGGCACCGTAGTTACTGTGAGCTGGGAAGGCCCAACACATCTGATAGCCAGGAGGGGCTCCCACTTGAGAGGAAACTTTCTTGGTGGCTTAAGTTCACACAGGAGGGCGCCCCAAAGCCTAGGCCCCCTCCTGGTGGGTCCAGATTCTGCTCTCACACTGGGGTAAATCTGGAGACACTATTAGAGTAATTAAGGCTGCTTTGGATTTTACACCAGTATAACCAAGGGCCGAGTCTAGTCCAAGGGGCCTAATACTCCTCTGATTCATCCCAGCTGGCTGGTTCTAATGAACTCCCCAGGGAAGCCCTGGTTTCCACAGGATTGTCTCTCCCAATTGGGAGGCAGCCTAGACAAAGCACAGTGATAATTCAGAATCGGCCGTGCAGAGAGCGTGGGGCTTCTCAGCCGGGAGGAGGTGAATGACAGAGGGTTCTTACCCCGGCAGGTGTTCTCACTCGCAGGGACGAAGTTCTCTTTCCCGGGATCAGACTCATATCCATCCCTACAAGAACAGTAGTAACTTCCTGGAAAATTGTGGCATTTGGTGAAGTTTCCACAGACCATCAGCCCCAGACACTCATCAATATCTGTAACACAGAGGAGAGCCCTGTTCATTCCCAGCACAGAGACATTCCTCTTTACCACTCACCCGCACTGACCCGGCATATGGAACCCAGGGGTCTGGGGCCCTGAGAAGTCACTGAAAAAGGACCCAGAGGGACTTCCCCTGGTCTGAAGACAATGAAAACTGCTGGGAAGTCAGGGGAGGTGCAGCCAGTGCTGGGGTGTTGTGCAGGAGGCAGAATGCCCTGGGATAACAGCTTTGGGAACCAGGATCCTGCTACAGGGCAAGGTATCAGCCCCTCTCTGCTGCTCCAGTGTGAGGGAGGGGGATTGCAGGGAGTCATGGGATGACATCCAGATTGCTGAGCGACCCCAGTCGGAGCAGAGACCCCCTCCAGTCTGACACAGAACTGACAGCGAAGGTCAGCTGCCCTTCATGTGCACGCTACCTGCTCCATGGGACTGGGGAACAAGGCAGGGCAGCGAGGCCCTTGGTTTGCCCTGTCCGCTGGCTTTGTGCCCACTATTGGCAGGACTGGGTCTGTGATGAGGAAAACAGCATCACATGGTTTAAAGCTCCCTGCCTAATTCGCCTCTTATTCACCGCAGCAGGCTGGCTCTAATGAGACCCCTGAACAAGCCTTTACGGCTAGAGCTGGACAGAAAGACTGAGTGGTTTAGTGGGAAACTAAAAAAAAGAGGGGGGTTGTTTTTACAGGGTTCCCCCACTTCCTTTCTTTCTTTCTTTGGAAAACACATGGGCGATGGGGGGAGGCAAAACATTATCTTAAACACATTTCAAAAGAAACAAACATTGTCCACAAAAGCAGCATTTCTTTTAGCTAAAACGGCCATTTGGACCACCTCTGCAGATTTCCACAGAACCAGCTAGGACTGTCCCACCAAACTGGGATGCACCCTGGACAAGGCATACTGTTAATTCAGAGCCAGCCGTGCAGCAAGCATGTGGATTTTCAGACAGACAGAGGGCAGCGACAGGGGGCCCTTACCCCACCAGGTGTTCTTTCTCACCTGCATTTGTGAAGTTCTCCTTCCCAGGGTCAGACTTGTATTCCCTGTGACGGAGTGGGAAGTTTCATAATATTTTGTATGAATATTGTGCATGCCTCAGTTTCTCCTAAATGCTGCAGTGTTAACTGGGTGATGGGAAAAGGTTGTTGACTTACTGCGGAGACCCAGAGATACAGAAGTAAATTCTGGACCAGTCTTCCAAGGGGAGCAGTGGGGGCAAAAAACCTAACTGGCTGCAAGACTGAGCTTGATACATTTATGGAGGGGATGGTGTGATGGGACTGCCTACAATGGCATGTGTCCCATCGGCGACTGGCATAGCAAAAATCCCCAATGGCTGGAGATGGGACACTAGATAGGGAGGGCTCTGAGTCACTACAGAGGATTCTTTCCTAGGTAGTTGCTTGTTGGCTCTTGCCCACATGCTCAGGGTCTCATTGGGGTCAGGATCTCATTGGGGTCAGGAAGAAATTTTCCCCTTAGTCAGACTGGCCAAGACCCGGGGGGAGGGGAGGGTTCACCTTCCTCTGCAGCATGGGGCATGGGTCACTTGCAAGTTTAAACTAGTGTAAATGGTGAATTCTCTGTAACTTGAAGTCTTTAAACCATGATTTGAGGACATCAGTAACTCAGCCAGAGGTTTGAGGTCTATTACAGGCATAGGTGGGTTAGTTTCTGTGGCCTTTGATGAGCAGGAGATCAGACTAGATGATCATGATCATAGAATCATAGAATATCAGGGTTGGAAGGGACCTCAGGAGGTCATCTAGTCCAACTCCCTGCTCAAAGCAGGACCAATCCCCAACTAAATGATCCCAGCCAGGGCTTTGTCAAGCCTGATCTTAAAAAACCTCTAAGGAAGGAGATTCCACCATCTCCCTAGGTAAGCTATTCCAGTACTTCACCACTCTCCTAGTGAAAAAGTTTTTCCTAATATCCAACATAAACCTCCCCCACTGCAACTTGAGACCATTACTCCTTGTTCTGTCATCTGGTACCACTGAGAACAGTCTAGATCCATCCTCTTTGGAACCCTCTTTCAGATAGTTGAAAGCAGCTATCAAATCCCCCCTCATTCTTCTCTTCTGCAGACTAAACAAGCCCAGTTTCCTCAGCTTCTCCTCATAAGTCATGTGCCCCAGCCCCCTGATCATTTTCGTTGCCCTCCGCTGATCTCTCTCCAATTTGTCCACATCATTTCTGTAGTGGGGGGCCCAAACCTGGATGCAGTACTCCAGATGTGGTCTCACCAGTGCCGAATAGAGGGGAATGATCACGTCCCTCGATCTGCTGGCAATGCTCCTACTAATGCATCCCAATATGCCATTAGCCTTCTTGGCAACAAGGGCACAATGCTGACTCATATCCAGCTTCTCATCCATGTAATCCCCAGAAATTATTCTGGGTTTATTCTTTGCGGATTGTGTTAATGATTGTTCTTAGAAGGAAAGAAGTTTTATGGATGTAATTCTTGCCTTTAAAGTCATTTATTGTTTTGTGTGTGAGTGAAGAATGTATGGCATGCTGATAAACAGAGAAGAGACAGGAGGTGCCAGTACTGATGGGTCAGATGGTCGAGAGGGGAGTGGAGGAGTCCAGAGGCACCAACTTTAGAATCGGAACCACCCAGATGGCAGATTGATGACCCTAAAGCAAAGGCATACACCCCAAGGACAAGATTAGGAGTTGAGCCAGAGGGACGAGATAAGACACAGCTGCAGTGTGGATCCTCCTGGTAATAACTCTGAATAATACTGATTAAGAGCACCCTTGAATATCTTGTGATCAACAGCTTCGCTGTGACACAGCAAGATTCACAGACTTGTATGGGAACGTATCACTATAAAAGAAGGGTGTATTGCCATGGGTTTCTACAGGTATGTTAGCAACAAGAAAAAGGTCAGGGAAAGTGCGGGACCCTTAATGAATGGGGGAGGCAACCTAGTGACAGATGATGTGGAAAAAGCTGACGTACCCAATGCTTTTTTTGCCTCGGTCTTCACAGACAAGGTCAGCTCCCACACTGCTGTCCTGAGCAGCCCTCAGTGGTGAAAGAACAGGTTAAGGACTATTTCGAAAAGCTGGACATGCACAAGTCCATGGGTCCAGATCTAATGCATCTGAGGGTGCTGAGGGGATTGGCTGATGTGATTGCAGAGCCATTGGCCGTTATCTTTGAAAACTCATTGCGATCAGGGCACATCCCAGACGAAGGTCTCCTGAGGTCTCAACCCATATCTTCTACTATTCTATGAGTTTGGGTTCATTCTGCATCAACATCAGAGCTTCGTATGCATTTGACAGAGGCCCAGCTCCCCGCCCCCTCGTGTGCAGTTTCAGCTGGCCACTGGAACTGACTGAGCAAGACTAAGGATTGGTAACTATAAGATACAGCTGCAGAACCTTTTGCTGTGTGTGTGTGAATGGAAGCATATGCCGATTTTAATGCTTAAATTGTACTCTCAATAAACGCGGCATATTGCCTTATCCCCTTTTTAAAAGATTCAGTGTTCTTCTTATAAGCATAACACCGTGACACTAAACAAACTCCCCCGTGAGGTCACAGTAGAACGAACCCTTCATGGGTCACTAATTATCCCTGACTGGTGTGAGATATTTCCAGTTTGGTTGTTATTTGCAATCACTCCCCACATGGTTCCTGTGAACAAATCTTAGCTGTTAGGTTTTTCTCAAACCAGTAACACCAGGCTACAACACTATAAGATTATAACAGGGCTCAAAAAAGAACTAGATAAGTTCATGGAGGATAGGTCCCTCAATGGCTATTAGCCAGGATGGGCAGAGATGTGAAACCAGGCTCTGAAGTGCCCCTAGCCTCTGTTTGCCAGAAGCTTAGAATGGGCGACGGGATGGATCACCTGAATATTACCTGTTCTGTTCATTCCCTCTGAAGCACCTGGCATTGGCCATTGTCGGAAGACAGGACACTGGGCTAGATGATCTGGCCCAGGATGGCAGTTCATATGTCCTTATGTTCAAGCAATTTGTCACTTAGTCATACAGTGTAATTCCTGTTGCCTGATTGGATGACCTACTCTATTTCACTATGAATTGTCCCGAAGTATCCAGCACAGGCACTGGTTTTTATTTTTCCCCAGGGTGCTTCACCCCTGCTCCACCCAAAGGCCCCACCCTTGAACCAACTCTTCCCACCTCCTCTCCAACCTCTCCCCGGATTCCTCCACTGCTCGCTGCTCTCCGCCCACCCCAAGCGCCTCCCCCAGCTGCCGAACAGCTGTGGCAGGTGGGTGTTGAGCACCCACTATTTTTTTCTGTGAGTTCTCCAGTGCCGGAGCACCCATGGAGTTGGTGCCTATGGTATCCAGCAACATTTGTCATCACAGGGTGACTGTTGTGGGAATGCCAAATGGAGCTTTTCAGCCGGATTCCTTGCCTCTGCCAGTGCCCTCAGGGATAACACATTGGTGCACATGACCCGTCCCCTTTCCAGGGCTGCCCTAGGAACACGGCCTCCCTCTCCTCAATGTTCCTTAGTAACCGGGGGAAGTGAGGCGAGGATATTGCAGGGGGATTTCAACGTGTCTCTGTGACTGGAACCGCTTCAGCAGGAGACAGTGAGCGAGAGCCACCCCAGACTACTCTACACCTGCAGTGTGGGAAGCTCCAACTCCTGCTCCAATTCAGGTAGAGGGGGACTTAAATCAGGCCCTCCCACATCCCAGCGAAGTGCTCAAAAACCAAAGCTACAGCATGTGGGAGTGGGGGAGAAACAGCACCGCCTCACAGTGCTTCCAAATTGCTTTTCATTAATAAGCACTCAAAAATGGCCAAAATGGAAAGAAAACATTTTTTCCTGATTTTCTCTTTTGCTGGGAATATCAAAACATTTTCATTTCAGGTGGATCCAAAATAATTTCCTTCTCAGATTGGCCAGCGCCCCAAACACTCTGCTGTGCGCACAGCTCTCCTCCGAAGTCACCGAGGCAGTTTGAAAGCCACACCCTAGTTAGGCAATGTCTTTGGTTGTATTGCCTGGCACTGGTCCTACTCCTACAAGGTGCTGATCACCTCTAAAGGGTGCTGGCAACCAACCTCAACTCCCAGTAGCCCTCAGGACATGCTCAGCACCTAGCAGAATCCTACACCAATAGAGAGGCCCAAATGTAGCTGCCTGTCAATCTGGATGTAGTTGTAATGAAAACCCTCCCCAGAGCTCTGCCTCCCTGGGGGGAAATCCCGTCCATCCAGATGGGCCCGCTGGGGGGTTGTTAAATACTAGTGACCGACTGCTCAGCCCCCTCACTTGTTCCCCCAGGCATTGCACACTCCCTGAGTGTGTGATCTGTCTGGGGTAGGACGGGGAGCCCCGTTACCGTTGCAGGTTTCCTTAAGATTGGTGAAGACGCGATTCCCACTCGGCTGGAATCCATCCAGGCAGGTGCAGTGGGTGTTGTTCACACACTTGGCGTTTGAAGGGCATGCGATCTTGTTGTTGCAGTCCTCAGTGGTACCTGATGGGAATGGAAAGCAGGTGAGAATGAGCTGCCCTGCACTATTTGTCCTGTTCCCCAGATTTTTCTCACTCCCCGTGGGCCCTTTCTCATGCGCTCCCAACAGCTCTTCGGCAGCCAAAATCTCCTACTCGCTCATCAGCCTCACAGGCTGAGAGCAACCAGTCTCCGTTCATTGGTGAACATGGTCAGCAGCTTTTGCCCCCACAGAGGTGAGGGGCTCCCAGCACCAGCTAAAGCCAGGTGTAACATAGGCAGGCAAATGGTCTGTATCCTGACCCACAGCCCCAACCCCACATTTCTGTCCTCGGCATCCTCATTTCCACCGCTCTGCTGATGCCCCTTAATCCTGACCCACAACCCCAGCTATTCTAGTGCTGTGATTCCCTCCCAACCACCGTCACTGTGCTGCCCCTCAATCTCGATCCCGATCCTGAGCTCCGCACCCAGGCAGAGCTGTGCCAATACATCTGAATCCCACCCCACCCCCACTCGGCCAGCCTGCTAGTCCTCCAGTTACTGCTGTCTGCGCCTCCAACCCTTGAGTAGAGGGTGAGGCCTAGCGACACCATTTGGAGGTGTCTCAGTGAGATGTGGCAGAATGAGGAATCATGTAAAAGACAGTGTGTCTAGTGGCAAACTAGAACCAGGGCCGGCTCCAGGCACCAGAGAAGGAAGCAGGTGCCTGGGGCGGCCAATAGAAAGGGGCGGCACTCCGTCCATTAGCAGGGCGGCATGTCCGGGTCTGCGGCGGCAATTCGGCGGCGGATCTTTCAGTCCCTCTCGTCCTCTTCAGCGGCACTTTGGCGGCAACTCAATCGATGCGCTTCAGTCGGCGGCAGCACTTCGGCGGCAGGTCCTTCAAACCCTCTCTACCACTTCGGCGGCACTTCGGCGGCAACTCAATCAGGTTTATCTTTTTTTTTCTTCATCTTCGCCGCTTGGGGCGGCAAAAAAGCTGGAGCCGGCCCTGACTAGAACCCCGTGAATAGAGGAGATGTGACGGAATGGAAAAATGAACATACAGGAACTAAACCTCAGACACAGAGAGGGCCAGATCCTCAGCGTGTGTAAGCTGGCATCACTCATTAACTTCAGTGGAGCTCTGCTCATTTACTCTTTCCAGTTCTGAAGATTCTGGTGTGACGGATTATCCCGAAACACTCTGTGGTGCCACCTGATGTATAGAGGTACCACTGAGCCCGCCCCTTCCACCAGCCTGGCCCTCAAGTCTCTTCTAGCACACCCACAGGTAGGGACACACCCTGCTGCAGAAAGACACAGACACTGAAATCAATACTGATTGGGAAGGTTTTCAGCTGAGTAACTGCCCAGCACTGAAGGGCACATCCCCTCTGGAGAGTAAACCCAAAATTGTACTGTCTTGCACTGCACAGAGAACTGTACAGCGTACGCTAACTGAAATTCTCCTCCCTCAATGTGGAGGACGATCTGCACAGCTTTTTGCCCCCAGTTGTGAATTTCACAAAACTGGTTTAGAGAAAACAAAAACAAATTTATGAACTACAAAAGATGGATTTTAAGTGATTATAAGAGATAGCAAACAGATCAAAGCAGATTACTGAGCAAATAAAACCAACACTCAAACTAAGCTTCATACACTAAGGAAATTGGTTACAAGTAATAATTTCTCACCCTGAATGTTGTTTTGCTCTTGCTTGCAGCCTAAAACTCCAGATATTTCTTTCACAGGACAAACATATTTTCCAGCCTGGGCTCAGTCCTCCCCACCACCTTTTCCTTTGTTTCTTAGGACATGTCTATACTGGCAGAGCTACAGCACCGGGAGTTACAGCGCCACTCAGAAACTGCTGAAGGGAAACTGCTGTTGTGTGTTCACACGGTCAACTGCCTGCACAATAGCGTGTTCACACGTGTAGCACTTGCAGTGGTATTTGTAGTGATCCACAGAGCACCTCTTTCTCTTCTACCCCTAAGAGTTGTGGGAAAGTGGAGGGCGTCACAGGGGCGTCCTGGGTCCTGGCCCAATGCCCCGTGATGCATTCCTTTGCATCCCAGCAATCCCTGTGCTTCCGTTCCCACATGGTGCCATCTTTCAACAGTTTGTGTATTGCGTGCCCTGCCTCTTCGGGCTGAAGGAAAGGATCCCAAACTCTTGAGCAGTACGCTGCTTGCTCTGACCAACATGAGTGGCAGTGGAGTTATTCCTTAAACTACCAAGGCAAGAGGAGTGCGACACTGATCTTACCATGCATAGTAGCTACGATACGAGATTGTTTCTGGCATTCACAGAGGTGCTGACCAGAGTGGAACGCCACATTTGGACTCAGGAAACAAGCACTGATTGGAGGGATCACATCGTGATGCATGTTTGGGATGACGAGCAGTGGCTGCAGAACTTTCAGATGAGGAAAGCCACAATCATTGGACTGTGTGATGAGGTCTCGCCAGCCCTGTGGTGCAAGGACACAACAATGACAGCTGCCTTGCTGTTGGAGATGCACGTGGCGATTGCACTGTGGATGCTGGCTACTTCAGACTGCTACTGATTGGTTGCTAACCAGTTCGGAGTGGGAAAGTCGACCGTTGAAATCATGTTGACGGAAGTCTGCGGGGCCATTAATCACATCCTGCTCTGAAGATCGTGGCTCTGGGCAACGTCTATGACATTGTGGATGGCTTTGCAAATTGGGCTTCCCTAACTGCGGAGGGACGATAGATGGCACACATATTCCAGTTCCAGACTACCTAGCTACTGAGTACATTAATCTCAAGGGGTATTTCTTAATGGTTCTCCAGGCCCTTGTGGATCACTGTGGGCATTTTACAGACATTAACACAGGCTGGTACGGAAAGGTGCATGACACACGCATCTTTTGGAACACTGGCCTGTTCAGGAAGCTGCACGCAGGAACTTTCTTCCTGGACCAGAAGATCACTTTAGGCAGGGCCGGCTCCAGGAACCAACGAAGGAAGCAGGTCCCTGGGGCAGCCAATAGAAAGGGGCGGCAGTCCATCCGTTATTGGGGCGGCACATCCGGTCTGCGGCGGGAATTCGGTGGTGGGTCCTTCTCTCCCTCTTGTCCTCTTCGGCGGCACTTCGGCGGCAGCTCAATTGGATTTTTCTTTTTTCTCTTTTTTTTTCTGCCGCTTGGGGCGGCAAAAAAGCTGGAGCCGGCCCTAAGTGATGGGGAAGTCAAAATGCCCATTGTGATCCTGGGAGACCCAGCCTGCACCTTAAAGTCATGGCTTATGAAGCCATACACAGGGCAACTTGACAGAAGCAAGAAGTGGTTCAGCAACAGGCTGAGCAAGTGCAGAATGACTTTTGAGTGTGCTTTTCACCATTTAAAGCCCGCTGGTGCTGCCTTTATGGGAAGCTGGACCTGAGTGAAGCTTTCACCCTTCCCTTCACAAATATTATGAAGCATACAGCTCCGTTTAAAGAGCTAATATTGCCTGCAGCGTGTCTGCTTGGCTCTCCATAACCTTTAAGAGCCACTCCGTGGCTTCATTCTAACATGCCACATTCTCCTTTCAGTCCCTCTTCTTGCTGTCCCGCCACTCTTTCAATTCCTGTTTCTCAGCGGAAGAAAGCATCATAACATCAAGCAGAACGTACTCCTTAGTTCTTCTTCGCCGCTTTCTAACTCTGCACAGCTGTTGAGCTGCCAGTAACAAAGAGGGAACCTTGGCTTGTCTCCCAAGGCCATCTCTTTGAAGTTTAAATGCAACATTTTACAGAAGCAGGATTGTTTGCAACACAGACAATGATTTAAAACACAGCCAGTACTCATACACCTCTCACTAACTAGCCAGCATACATGAGCCGAAAGGGGCAGAGTAAATCACTCTTCTCAGACCCTGTTGTACACTGGACACGTGGCTCTTGGGGAGAGCCAGCAGTGTAGGGAGGCCTGATAATCATTCCTGTCCCCACACTTTCCACAGGATGTGATCATTATGGAAGATATCTCGCTTCTGAAGGTCAGCAGGGAATCAAGGGAGGGTCTTCTCCAAGACTGCGGCTTCCTCCCTGACCCCTATGCGGCTCGCCTGTGTTCAGTAATGGTCCGTCCCCTGCCCCCCTGTGACGGCACAGTGGCAAAGGAAAGTTACCGTTAATGGGGCAAGAAAAAAAGCATCGCTGCCGAAGACCCTCCGGCAGTGGATTGCCCAGTATCTCTGCAAGAGTTTCCTGGACATCTCTGAGGGAGATTCCCGTGAAGTGAGGGAATCAATCAACAGCTTGTTCCGCCGCTCAGACTAGGCATGCGGTGGGAGACTAGCCTGCTTTCTGCAACCCTCCTGCCTCCAACAACTCACTTAAGTGATTCCCAAAATCAAATCCACTTACCAGGGGCCTCCTCTCCTGTTTGCGCTTTGCCAACATCCAACAGCTGTGACTGGCTAACCTCCTCTGGGGTAGAAAAGAGCTCCTGGCTGCATGAATCTCTGACCTCCAAATCATCCTCTGCCTCTGGGTCCCCCTCACCCTCCACATCCTCATCTGAGATTTCCTCCTCCTGGCTCAGTCCACTTTTGACTGGCACGTGAGCCACTGAAATATTCCCAGTGATCTCTGCAGTGGAGGTGGGGTCGCTGAGGAGTATCGTGTCCAGCTCTTTGTAGAACCAGCAGCTCGTGGGCACAGCACCGGAGCGGTGGTTTGCCTCCCGTGCCTTCTGGTTGGCATTCCACAGCTCCTTCACTTTGACCTTGCACTGCAATGTGTCTCGATCACGGCACCTTTTTATCATGCACGCATCACCGAGCATACAGGAAGGGGACTTTCAAAATTCCAAAGGAATTTATGGGGTGAGGATGATGGTTGGTCACCTGAGGGCAGGGCAGTGGAGTTCAAACCAATGACCAGAGAGGCCAGAACAGGCATTGTGGGACACCTCCCGGAGGCCAATTGCAGTGCTGTAATCGACCAGAGTGTCTACACTGGCACCATTGCGCTGTAGCCCCAGTGCAGAAAGCTGTATGCCTCTCATTGGGGTGTTTTTTTACAGTGCTACAACTACACACTTTCTGCACACTAAGTGGCCTGGCAGTTTGTACACCTCAGGAGTTACAGCACAGAAAGCTCCTTTACTGTGCAGAGACTTGCCAGTAGATAGCGCCTAACATGTTTCCAGCAGTCATCCTGGCAGAGATTCAGGGAAGAATGAAACCTGATTAACTCACTTCCCTGCCGTAAATAATATTTACATATGGTGGGTGTGACGTTGCACTCTATATGATTTTATGAAAGTATGCTGATGAATGTAAATATGACAGTCTCTACGGAAAAGAATTAATGGACACAAATCTGACATCAGGAATCATAACATTCAAAAACCAGTAGGAGAACACTTTAACCTGTCTGGTCATTCAATGACAGACCTGCGGGTGGCAATTTTGCAACAAAAAAGCTTCAAAAACAGACTCCAACGAGAAACTGCAGAGCTTGAATTGATATGCAAATTAGATACAATCACCTTAGGCTTAAATAAAGACTGGGAATGGCTGAGCCATTACAAACATTGAATCTATCTCCCCATGTAAGTACTCTCACACTTCTTATCAACCTGTCTGTACTGGGCTAGCTTGATTATCACTTCAAAAGTTTTTTTCCTCTTACTTAATTGGCCTCTCAGAGTTGGTAAGACAACTCGCACCTGTTCATGCTCTCTGTATGTGTACATATATCTCCTCAATATATGTTCCATTCTATGCATCCGAAGAAGTGGGCCCTAGCCCATGAAAGCTTATGCTCAAATAAATTTGTTAGTCTCTAAGGTGCCACCAGTACTCCTGTTCTTTTTGTGGATATAGACTAACACAGCTGCTACTTTGAAACCTGTGAATATAACGTAACTGGGATA